TTCCATCCCTGCTGGGATCCCCATTCCATTCCATCCCTGCTGGGACTTCCATTCCACTCTGTCCCTGCTGGGACCCCCATTCCATTCCATCCCTACTGGGACTCCCACTCCATCCCTGCTGGGACTCCCATTCCATCCCTACTGGGACTCCCACTCCATCCCTGCTGGGACTCCCATTCCATCCCTACTGGGACTCCCACTCCATCCCTACTGGGACTCCCACTCCATCCCTGCTGGGACTCTCATTCCAGCCCTGCTGGGACTGCCATTCCCTCCCTGCTGGACCCTGCTCAGCACCAGCCCTGGGCCATCCCGGTGGCTCAAGCCCTGTCCCTGTTTTTCAGGAAGACCTGTCCATGCCCCTGATCGAGGAGGAGATCGATGGGCTCTCAGGGCTCCTCTTCCCGTTCTACGACGCCGACACCCACATGCTGTACCTGGCTGGGAAGGTATGGGATGTCTGGAGCATCTCCCTGGGCATTCCCAGCCCGTGTCCCCCTGGGAATGTGGTGCTAGGGGTTGACATCAGAGAATGGGTTGGGTTGGAAGGGACCTCAATCATCATCCAGGTCCTGGATGGGCAGGGACACCTCCCACTATCCCAGGTTGTTCCAACCTGGCCTTGGACACTTCCAGGGATCCAGGGGCAGCCACAGCTTCTCTGGGCAACCTGTGCCAGGGCCTCCCCACCCTCACAGGGAGGAATTTCTTCCCAATACCCCACCTATCCCTGCCCTCTGACTGGTCTTTATGTTGGTCCTTATTCCCCCTCACATTTCCCAGAGGAATAACCTGTCCCTGTTCCTGTTGCTGCTCCAGGGCGACGGCAACATCCGCTATTACGAGATCGGCTCCGAGAAGCCCTACCTGAGTTACCTCATGGAATTCCGCTCCCCGGCCCCACAGAAAGGACTGGGTAAGGATCCCGGGCTGCTGCTGCTCTGCTAGGAGCAGGGAAAAGCTGGATCATGGAAGGTGCTTAATGAAATGTCACAGGCAAATGGGTTTGGCTTGGGTTTGGTTTGGGTTTGGGATGGGTCTGGGATGGGTTTGGGATTGGTTTAGCTTGGGTTTGGGATGGGTTCAGGATGGGTCAGGGATGGGTCTGGGATGGGTTCGGGATGGGTCAGGGATGGGTTTGGGATGGGTTTGGGATGGGTCTGGGATGGGTTGGGGATGGGTCAGGGATGGGTCTGGGATGGGTTTGGCGGGCGCTGTTCCGGCTCCGGAGCATCGGCTGCAGCTCTTGCAGGGCGACATTCCCATCCCTGTGCTGCCCTTCCCAGGGTGATTCAGCCCTGCTGGGGTTGGTGCACGTCCAGGGGCACCCCTCCTGGTGTCACACGTGGCTTCACCAGGGGACATCAGTGATTGTCCCAAATAAAAGCTGCTCATCCCTTTCCCAACATCCCTGCCAACCTGGCATGGCCCAGCCATGTGCTCCCAGTCCTTGGGGTGATGCCAAGGGTTGATCCAGGGAAAGGGTTGATCCTGGGTGTGCTGGTGGGGCTGTTGTGGGGTGTCTGTGCTGGGCTGACGGGCGGTGCTGCTCCGCAGGGGTGATGCCGAAGCACGGCCTGGACGTGTCAGCCTGTGAGGTCTTTCGGTTCTACAAACTCATCACCCTCAAGGGGCTCATCGAGCCCATCTCCATGATCGTGCCCAGGAGGGTGAGTCCACAGGGGGGTCTGGGAAGGGCCCAGAGGGATGGACATGCCCCACTTTGGCCAGTCCCATGGCTGGGTCTCTTCGCACCAGGCTCAGACCTCTCCATCCCTAAACATCCCAGGGATTTCCAGGGGGGTTTTGCCCGAGGTTTAATGGGAATGTTTTTTTTGAAATGCATCTCCACATTGCTCCTGGCATATGTGTTGTACAAAATCAGCTTGGTCCACAGTGCCGGGGAACAAGGGGCTTGTCTCACCTGAGATTTGGGGGTGTTTTGGGAAAACAGATCTCGAATCGGGGTTTGGTGTCAGGAAGCAAACCCGGGGCTGTGTGGAGGGCCCACTCCCAGGTTCTGAGCAGCTCAGCAGCTGCTCATCCTCCTCCATCCCCTCCCAGTGCCAACCAGCAGTTCCCAAATCCGCTCCCTGTGCCCCGAGTTTCCCACCCAGGAGGTCACCCCCCGGTTCCTCCCCTCCCCGCGGGTCTCTCCGATGCCCACGGGGTGGGTTCATGGAGGTGGCTGCTCTTTCCCTGTGTTTCCAGTCCGAGACGTACCAGGAGGACATTTACCCCATGACCCCGGGCACGGAGCCTGCCCTGACCCCGGACGAGTGGCTGAGTGGGATGAACAGAGGTAACGCCACTGGTGGCACTGATGGCACTGGTGGCACTGGTGCCACGCCGAGTGGGCGCTGGCCAGGCAGCCCCCCTGACCCTGTCCCCCCTCTGCCCCCTCAGATCCCATCCTGATGTCGCTGAAGGAGGGCTACAAGAGGACATCCAAAATTGTCTTCAAGGCCCCGGCGAGGGAGAAGAAGAGCGTGGTGGTCAATGGCATTGACCTGCTGGAGAACGTCCCGCCCCGCACCGAGAACGAGGTGGGACAGCCCGGCCTGTGGGACACGGGGACAGGGGGGACAGGTTGGATGGGGGGGGGACATCCTTGGGATGAACCTGGAAAGCCACCCCTCTGTAGGTCTCTGTATTCCCAGACTGAGGTACTGGGTGTTCCCCTGCCCCTTGGAGCATCCACCTCAACCCTGGAGCACCCCAAAGGAGCGGAGTGAAGCTCCTTGGTTGGTTTTGGTTTTAATTAAAAGCCTTGTCTGGGAACAACATATGGATGGGGATACATCAGCACTTGGTCCTGGAAGGAATTTGGTTTAGAATCATGGAATCCTGGAAAAGCTTAGGTTGGAAGGGACCTTAAAGCTCATCCAGTCCCACCCCTGCCTTGGGTAGGGACACCTTCCACTATCTCAGGTTGTTCCAAGCCCCATCCAACCTGGCCTCGGACACTTCCAGGGATCCAGGGGCAGCCACAGCTTCTCTGGGCAACCTGTGCCAGGGCCTCACCACCCTCATGATAAAAAATTTCTTCCCAATATCCCACCTAAATCTCCCATCCTTCAGTTTAAATCCATCCCCTTTTCCCATCACCACAGATCCTGCTAAAAAGCTTGTCCCCAAAATCAGCCGGATCAGGTCCCAGTCCCAGCACAGCTCCGGGGCTGGGAGGAGGGCGAAGTGGACGCTGTGGTCCCTCCAGCTCCATCCCTCCCTCTCCCTCCTTCCCTTGCAGCTCCTCCGGGTGTTTTTCCGGCAGCAGGACGAGATCCGGCGGCTGAAGGACGAGCTGTCTCAGAAGGACATTAGGATCCGGCAGCTCCAGCTGGAACTAAAGAACTTACGGAACAGCCCGAAGAACAATTAACTCCCAGGGACGTTTTCTAAATAAACTCTCGTTGTTTCTACTCGCTCTTTAATTTTATTGTCCCCACTGACCCAGCCGGGAGCCAGGACCCCGCCGAGATTCCGAGCGCCGATGGATCCGCGTGTGCCCGGCACTGATCCCGCTCTAACTGCTGCCCCCGAGGGGCCGGGGGCTCCCCGTGAGTAGGAGCCGTGTGCCCCCCCCCTCGGCACGATCCGGATTCCCGGGAAAAGCTGACGCTTCCTTGCTATTAATTTCTTTTTCCTATGCAAAAAAATGTGACGGCGGGGGCAGAACTGGAAGGGGTGGGAAGGGCTGGATCACCAAAGCTGGGGGGGTGTGGGGGGAGACTGGGAGCATTCCCATGGTGGGAAACTGGGAGCCTTTCCATGGTGGGAGCCCAGGATCCATCCCACGGTGGGAGCCTGTGATTCTTCCCATGACAGAAGCCCGAGATGTGTCTGATGGTGGGAGCCTGGGATCCATCCCAGCATGGGAGCCCAGGACCCTTTCCCATGGTGGGAGCCCAGGACTCTTCCCATGGCGAGAGCCTGTGATCCTTCCCATGGTGGGAATCCAGGATCCATCCCACAGTGGGAGCCAGGGACCCTTTCCCATGGTGGGAGCACAGGGTCCTTCCCACAGTGGGATCCCAGGATCCCTCCCGTGGTGCCAGTGGCCATGGCATGGCCGGGCAGGCTCTGGTACAGTCAGGATTTGGCAGGAGCAGCCTGTGAGTGTCCCAGGGCTGCAGCCCGGGAAGGGAGCAGCTCCACGTGCACCAATATCCTTTAAAATAACAAAAAGCCAGGCTGGGGTTCCTGCCTGGGGAGGGATTTTTGCTCCTTCCACCTCTGCCAAGAGGGATTTCCCCTCCTCCTGTCTGCTGGGACACTGCCAGGGCCATGGGGAGGAGGAAGGATGTCCCTGGGATGACCCTGGGAAGGATGTCATGGTGCTGCCCCAGGGATGGACCCTGTGGGATGGATCCCAATGATGGACCCTGTGGGATGGACCCCAGGGATGGATTCTGTGGGATGGATCCCAAGGCTGGACACTGTGGGATGGATCCCAAGGATGGATTCTGTGGGATGGACTCAAGGGGTGGACCCTGTGGGATGGACCCAAGGGATGGATTCTGGGATGGACCCCAGGCATGGATTCTGTGGGATGGATCCCAAGGGATGGATTCTGTGGGATGGATCCCAAGG